ATTCAGTGTTATATTGAAAAAAGAGTCCTGGAAAGAACCTACCTGAACGTCCCTGTCTTAAAAAGCCATGCCAATCTAGGATGGAAAAACCATCTAGACAGCGGTAACCACACAGTGGCAGTCAGTGTCAAGGGGCGGGCTAAGTGTTTAACATCCATAATTTCATTGGCTCTTACCATCCCCAGGGGCAGATGAAGTTACTCCGTATTCTACCCTTGAGAAGACCCGTGCCAGGAGAAGTTCAACAGTTTGCCCCGGTTGCCGGGGATCTTTTAATAAGAGAGCCAGGGTCCCAACTCAACTAGAAACATGTGCCAGGAGACTGTAGCTTACCAGAGCTCCCTGGAGAGGGGTCCAACTGGTTGTCATTTAAGAGTTTTTTCCATGGCATATTTAGCACTACATGAAACACTGACTCTGCTGCCTGAGTTTCCATTCACTAAGGAAGCGGTTTCTCCTTGTAAGCTGGTAGGAGAAGCAGCATGAACGCTCCAAACTCCTAGGCAACACCTTCAAAAGGCAAAGGGCAGCACTGTCAACAAGTAAATGTAACCTGTTACTTAAAACAGGTCACAAGCTTAAGGACTTGTTCAACAAACCGCTGCTCTTAAAGCTGACCACTAGGTGGCAGGAGCACAGCATGCTTTGTAAATCAAAGCGGCAGGACATTTTCCCAGCTCTTTTTCACAGCAATACACAATCTTGTTAAACTGCTTAAAATTTTTCAACGATTATTTTGTTATTTTTAGGGTAGTATGATATAAATAAGTGGTTCGAAATAGAAATTATTCTCCCTATCGAAAAGTACATTACAATATTTTAAATAACACCATAATATATTTACAACCTTTTCATATTCAATAACACAGTTTAAATTTGCTTTAATCCTGTAAGTAGAACCATACACTGTCAATGAGCTGAATAAACAAATATACTGTATACTGAAATATAGTAAAGACCGAAATTTAATTTTGTAATGCTATAAAATAGACAAAAACTGCTTTTAACTCACGAAGGTTGGAATCCTTGCGTTTCACACTTTTTCTATTTGTTTCCCTTAGTTTGTATTTTGTTTCTCAAAGTCAAAATAAAAAAGGTTTCAGGTTCTACTTCACAAGCACTTCTCTACAAGTAACACTGAACATTCTCAATGTGTAAGATGCAATGTATAAG